CCTGAAAGGGAGCATTTAACAAAACTGGACGCATATGAACACGTTAAACTCAGTATTTCGAGTTAAGTGGTACGAGTACGACCTTTTGTCAAACGCTGTTGTTAAATAGAGATTGAATTATTCAGCGCAGTTGACTGGGTGACTGCAAACAAGGCGCTGAAGGTGATTCGACCGTTGCCTACGAACGGACGATAGCCGCTTTGCAAAGCGGTCACCCAGAAGCCCTCAAACTAGATGAGACATCTCATAACGAACCTTTATGCCTTCGAAACGTCTGAAGAATGAACATGGGTTCGTTAGCTCCAGGTAAATAGTTTGTGCGTCACGTGGCGCCGTCTTGATGTAATGGGATAGGAAGATGATGTGGCGATCGTTTTATACCCATTGCAGCAGAATGTGGTTCAAAACTTTTCTTCTGAAGTTTTCATCCGTACGCAAACTTCCATCGCACAAGGTCTGTTGTTCTTTGTGGTATTTCTGATTATGCGCAGGGTCCGTTTCTGATTATGTGCTGAAGTTGAAAAATCGTCTATTCAAATCAGCAAGTTTTCCATGCATTCCAAGCGACTGTTTCTTGAAGTCTGGAGAAAGAAGGGGAAGAAAACGGAAAGTTTATCACCGTTGGAATATCGGTCTTCACATAGGTGATTGCGCCATTTTAGCACTTTATTTCATGAAGTTGATGGTGCGGCGTGAACTCCGTTTCTATGCCATCGCCATAATGCCTTGTTTTTAAGGCAGTGTTACAGCCATGTGGCAAGCATTGCGTATAGTCTCCTGCTTCCATTCCACAGAGTGATAATCATTTATCAACCTCGGAAGAAAGAAATACGAGTGACCCGATCGGGGAGGGGGTTCTATCAGTTCTGAGTTCTACGCTCTACCAATTCAGCAACTCCTGTCCTGAAACAGCATACGGTAAATTCCTTGCTCAAGGGAATTCGTGAATAAAACAAACATTTACCCCCTCCCCCTCGCAGGCATCGAACTCTGCACCTCCGGAGTTTTAAGCAGACCACTGCTCGTAACCATAGAC